AAAAGAGAGCAATTAATCTGGCCGCCCCCTTCACTTATTATTTATACTAAAATAATAGAACAGTACAAAGACAACTATGCCCTTATAGGGCAGCAAAACATAAAACAACATATATAACACTCAAAAAACATAATAAAATTTGGACTCACATAACTATTGTGGTCCCCACCTATCTAACAACTAACATAAACATCTACTCAAAAAAACATCATAAAACTAATTAATCTTCAACAATATGCATCTGCACAACATCATTAGAAATCAAGATAATATTATTACAATAATTGCAAAACTTATGGAATCCTCGGTCCTTAAATTCCTCCGATGAATACACAAAAATATATCCAGCTTTCAAGTTTCAACCACCCAATAATCTGTATCTGTGGAACATCCCTTGCCTTTAATCAAAGCAAATGTTGCCTCATACTATGCACTCAATCGGAAAAATGAACCAATAGATTGCAAACAACCATGAAAAACACATGTATTAAAAAGTCAAAAGCACCTCATATTAGTTATGCATTCAATCATTCCCTAGTGCTAGTAATGTTTCTTATGAATAACTGTAAATTTTGTTACTTCCTAATTCCTTTAAGATTTAATAATTATTTCCATGTTTCCTGATTTTTTAGATTTTCCAAATATCTTGGCGAGACTAGTGAAATGTCTCCAAAACTTCTCTATCTCTACATGGTGAAATGCCCATTGATACCAAAATTGTGAACCATGGTTATACCTCAAACCACAGTTATGTTTCTCCTCGACTTTTATATGAATCTCTAATATTACAACAAAAGTCGGGGAATGCACCATAGTTCTACTTCCAAGAATGTGCAGCACTAAATTCATAACCCACAGTCCATAATTCCTATCAATACATGAAAAATGTTTCAAATAAGGTAGTAAAGAAAGAACTCTACATAACACAGGTTGCACATCCAGTAATAAACAAATGTTTCAATAGGAAATAAGAATGTCATGTAAAAATTAACCTGTGCAAAGGCCGGAGTGTGCCTAGAAGAGAATTTGAGTTTCTTCAACAATGGTACAACATCAGAACTCTGAGGATAGGTTACACGTGGGGCTTGTACCCTGTTCAATGGTATAAAAGTAACCCGCCCCCCTTTTAATGCATTAAGGTGTCGAATTATCTGAGTTGATATTTCGTCTGTTTCAACCACCACATGAAATAAGCTGTATGCACAGAACAATGGACATCTTAGAACATCATTGAAAACATTGGATCCATATAATGAGATTTGACACATATTATAAATACAACTGAACACACAGATTCAACACAGAAAGTACAGATTGCCCAAACCTGTTTCCAGCAGTAACTTCAACAGCTGTGAAAAACTTCTCATCACAATCAAGCAACTCAAGGACTGGACCAAACACTCCTTCAATGTTATAATCTCTGATGATCCTTCGAACAGAACTCAATCCTCTTCTGATATCCTAGGAGATGTACATGAAAAAGGGGTGGAGAAGTTGAGATAATAGGAAAACAGATTTTGAGATAATATAAAAGAATACTGCAGAGTTGTACCCAAATAAAAAAGAAAAACAGGTTCTTTCAAATGAAACCCCTTGTGATCAAGAATTTTTGTTATCCAATTCAACATTCACTGCAATTAACCTAGGAATTATCCAATTCAAAACCAACTGCAACTAACATAGGGAAGTATGTAGTAATTAAACTCTTGTTTAATTGCATGCACAAATGCATCAAAATTAAATTCAGTAAATGAGGAAAGATATCCCTCACAATGGATGAGAAGGTTAACTAAATCCTAAAGATTCAACTATATCTACTGAAAAGTTTACTCAAGTCAATGGATCAAGTTCCTAGCTAAGAAGGCAGTTGGAATGTGTGAGACTACGAGAGTCAGAGACAACTAACCAAGGATTAACGATGTCCAGACCTGCCCTCTAGAAGTAGTTGTTAGGTCAACTCAAGCAAGGATCAAGCAAAGAAGTAACCTCTTTTTTAATCAATAGCAAAGAAGCAATCTCTTTTGAATCATCTCTAAAACATTTGTGTTTTCTTTCTTGTTCTCTTGATCTTTTAGAGCAGTAAATTATCCCAGAGGGGAGAGGCAGGGAAAGCAACTACTTACACCAGGCGTAGCATGATCAAGGCTCTTTTCAGCCTTTACAACATCCGCTTTAAGCTTATCAACTTCAGCAGAAAGCTCACTTTCCTTCTCCCATAAGGACCTAAAAGGGGGGAAAACTCTCTTAACTATAAGGGGGAATTTTCAAAATTCCTCATTCAAATAAAACCAGCATTCACACAAAGAGACAAAGAAAACCATACTTCCGCTTATCCTGCAGACTATCCCTCTGTGTCTTGAAACTGTTGAAACCTTCCTGAGACTTCAGGATTATGGATTCTAGCTTTCCCGCTTCAACTCTGCGTCCCTCTATATATGCTTCCTTCTCTTTAAGCTCAGCATCAAGCTGGTGGATTTCATCCTGAAGCTTTTTCTCCTGAAATAAAAAATACAAAAGTAAAAAAGGAGAGACAAGAAAAGAAAGTAATAAATGGTACACTGTTATTCACCAAAGAAAAGTAATATAAGCATATTCTTGAAAAATAACTTCAACATAACACTAAACTACCTGTAGGAGGGAGTAATAGAAAGAAAACACAAACAAATAATGATCAAGGAAACACAGCTAGGTTCAGATACACACAGACCATTATGGAATGGTATGCAAGTTTCAACCTAAGTGATGATGCATGTCCATGCTCCATGTATCTGTCAAAATTTGATGATCTACATAGGATTAACAATTTTGATTTAAATCGTGTAATTGGATACTATTCTGGAATAAAAACTTACCATTATTGTTTAAATCTCTGATTCATGAATGAAATTACCTTTTTTCTCAAAGAAAAAATATTTGATTCATGAATCTTACTATTTACCCAAGCATGCAATTCAAATCAATGAACAGAACCTAGTCATGTGTTTCATTAAGTCTTTACCCCTAGGAGCTTTTTGTTTTGAAACCCATTCTAGAATAAAATTTATTGGGATTATTTAAAACCTACTAGAAAATCCCTCTGAGTCCAACATGTGGGTTAAAAAACCATAAGGTGTGTTCTCCAACATGAATTGTTCTCACGTTGTAAGTTCCAAAAATAAAGAACCACACCTGCTTGAAAAAAGCATTGATTCTTGAAACAAAAACTCAAAACATGTTCATGCTTTCATAATATATTTCTTGTTTCCAAAACTGAAACCAAAATTGCCTTGCAACTACCTTATATACGAAGCACATATGAGGTGATAATTTCAAAATTCTACACCTACATTGGACCATCCTTGTGAGACCTTTTATGCACAGCAACCTATAGATGGTATCTATCTAACAAGGATTCGTTGGAGCATGGTTCCTTTCACAGTTTGATCATGTTTATGGAAAAAGGAAATCAAATGATCCTTGAATAGAAGGGAGATTTTTTGGGTAGTCATTTGCATATGCCAGTGCCCCTATTTTGTATAGGATCTTGACACTTGAGGAACTTAAATGACAAACAGAAAAATAACATAACGGAATATACAAGAACTTTTTAGTTTTGACTACAAACAGGAAACTTCATTGATGAAAAACAAAGAAAAGGGGTGGACACTGAAAAGCTACCCGTACCCCCACCAAAAAAACAGTCTAAACAAGAAGGATACAATAGACTCTGGGAATCCCTGATATATTCAACAGAAATAAGAGCAGACCCCCAATACAATCTCCCCAGTCAACTCCAAGCCAACAGTCTGCAAGAGAATTGGCTTATCCTCTTCTCCAGTGGAATGAGATGTTCATACAAGTAGCAAGAAATCTGCTATCAATGATGTGATGATGAAGTAGCTAGGGGCCTGAGTTTGGAAGACCTGTTCTGCCATTGTGCTCTATAAATATCCATGTTTGAAAGACCTGTCTAGGAAAGCATACATAGACCATAGCAGCATCCTTGTCCCAACCATATGAGATTAGCCATATGAATCCTCTTTCACCATTCCATTCTGTTTACTTGATGCGTTCACAAGATTAAATGCCCAAATTAGTGCAAAAATTCCATGAATTTGTTCTCACTCAGTTTGGTAGCTGCATCAAAGTATAATGATCCAATAAGAAAAAGGAGTACTTTTTGGATAATAGAAGGTGATTCATGAATTTGTTCTCCTAGTGGTTTTATCAAACTTAATTTTGATGGAAGTAGGATGGGTAATCCAGGTCCATCAGGTATTGGAGGTGTCTTAAGAAATGAGGAGGGAGTGATAATTGCTCTCTTTTCGGGGCCAATTGGAATGGGCGATTCTCTTAGAGCTGAGATTTCAGCTGTTATCGAAGGAACTCAAAGGGCAATTGAACTGAACATCACCAAATTGGTCATAGAAGGTGATCTAAGCTGGTAGTGGATTTTGGTTAGGTGAGATAAGAGAGTTATCTCCCTTTTCTTGTACCTGTGTATTTTTTCTCTAATTTTAATAAAATCTGTGAGTTATTGATCAAAAAAAAGGAGTACTTTGAGAAGGATCTCTCAACCTATCTTGAAAATTTTAGTGCTCTTCATCAGAGTTCTTGTGGTTACACTCCACAACAAAATGGAGTTTTTGAAAGGAAAATTCGTCATATTATTGAAGTTGCTAGAAGTATGTTATTTCATGTCCCAACAAAGTATTGGGGGGATACTATTCTTACTGCAACCTACTTGATTAATTGCATGCCATCTCAAGTTCTTCGTTTCAAATCCCCTTTCAATCTTCTTTTCCCAGACACAATTATTTTCCATTCCTCTATGTGTTTTAGGTTGTACTTGTTATGTTCATATCCCTAGTTCAGAATGACATCAATTTCAACCCAAAGCCCAAAAGTGCATTTTCCTTGGTTATGCCTTCAAAGAAAAGGGTTATTGTTGCTATGATCCTGTCAATGACACTTGCTTTGTTCCCATGGATGTTACTTTGGCTGAGTTTCTCCTCTATTACTCAGCTTCATCTAGGGAGAGAATTATGAATTATTTTACCCCTTCACTCCCAGTTGTCTCCTCTCTTAACCGACCTTCACCTCCTGTTGAGTCTCTTGTTGTCCCTCCACCTTCAGTTGAGGCTCTTATTGCTTCTCCTTCACCCCCAACAGAGCCAATTTCAGTTATATCACCATCTTACATCTAGAGAGCACGGGTCTATCAATGACAGCACTGGCGTAGTAGAGGGAACCCAGGGCAATCTGGTATTGGGGGAGTATTCAGGGATGAGAATAGGAATGTTTCAGCCATGTTTTCAGGCCCAATAGGTGTAGGTGATTCCCTCAGGGCTGAGATTCTTGCGGTATTGAAAGGAGTCCAAAGAGCAAAGGAATTGAATATAAGGAGGCTTGTGGTTGAAGGTGACTCGGAGGTGCTAGTAGGATGGTTGAAAGAAGATAAGGCTGGGTTGTGGAACTATAACAATGAAAAGAAAATTTTCAAGTGGTTGGCTAAGGATATGGAAGTAAAATACAGTTAGGTGAAGAGATCTGCTAACTCTTTTGCTGATGGGTTAGCCAAGCATGGGGTGGTTCAGGAATCTATGTTTTTTGGCTCTTTTGTAATTCTGTTTTATTGCTTTTCTGGGGGCTCTTGCCCTTGTCTGGGCAGTTAAGATAGTTTATCTCCCCCTTCTTATAATTAATATTTTTATCTTTTTAATGAAAGCATCTGTTATTGATAATAATAAAAAAAAAAAACAGCACTGGTGTAGGCATGAACAAGTTGCTCCTTCATCACGACCTCTTCCATCAATTCTTGATGAGACAACAAGTTCAGCACCTCCTTCATCAGCTCCACAACCTGAATTTCCCCCCATTGCTGTCTGAAAAGGTAAGTGTAAGTGTACAGCTCACTGCACCTCAAAATACCTTTCCTACAGCCTTTTGTCCCCAACATACCTCTGTCTCTGCTCAGTCCATCCCCAAGTCTGTTTCAAAAGCTTTATCCCAACCAGAATGGAGGGACACTGAGGACTGAAATGGAAGCATTAGAAAAGAACCATATTAGGGACATTGTTGATTTGCCAGATGGAAGGAGCAGTTGGTTGTAGGTTAGTAGGTAGCTGTATACTATCAAGTACAATGCAGACGCACACATTGAGAGATATAATGCTGGCCATGTGACGAAGGGGTATACCTAGTTGTATGGTGTTGACTATTTGGAGACTTTTGCTCTTGTGACCAAAATGACCTATGTTGATGTTTTATTATCCTTTACTGCTTTTTCTTGGAAGCTATATCAATTTGATGTCAAGAACGCCTTCTTGAATGGAGACCTTCATGAAGAGGTTTATGTCTCTTCCTCCTGGAATGCATAGTAAGAATATGGAAGGTGTGTAAGTTGAGGAAATCTCTCTATGGGCTCAAACAGTCACCACAAGCTTGGTTTGAGAGATTCAAAAATGCATTGTTTGGTATTGGTTACCTTCAGACATAGTCACACCATACCATATTTGTGAAGTGGAAGGGTGCATTGGTGACTATACTAATTGTCTATGTAGATGATATATTTGTTTTTATCAATTGTAGATGATATTGTTGTCACAGGAGATGATGTTGAAGAGATTGATTGAGTTAAGTATTTACTTAATATTGAATTTAGATTAAGGACCTTGGAGAGCTGTGGTATTCCTTGGGTATTGAGATAGCTCTTTCTAGGAAGGAATTTTTATCTTCTAGAGGAAATATGCGCTTGACTTGTTGGCAAAAACAAGGATACTTGGTGCTAAGCCAGCTCCTACTCCAATGGACTATAATCACAAATTGTCAGCTACAGAAGGAGAGGTACTCTCTGATAGGGAAGTGTTCCAAAGAATTGTAAATGAGTTGTTATACCTTTACGTGACTCATCGTGATATTTCCTATGCTATGAGTGCAATTAGCAATGATTTAAAAGGTGTGCCTAAGACACGCCTAGGTGAACAAGCGAGACACATTTTAAGCTATGCACCTCACCTAGGTCGTAGGCACACCACTTTCAAAAGGTGTGTCTGGTGTGTCGTGTGCCTCAGCCCAGGTGTGCACATATTTGCTAATGTCATTCATCTATTCATCCTAACAAAAAGATATATTTTATTAATAACTCAAAAAAATTATTTTATTAAGATCAAGAGAAAGCAGTACAACAAGACATTGTGGAAATAATAAAAAAAAAAATATTTTTAGGAATTAAGAATTTAAAGACCCTAACATAGACTTGTTTGGGCTTGCCTCAAGGGGCATGGTACAAAGGCAGCTCGTAGAATTAGGAATGAAAGATGTAAAATCACATTAACTATTTGAAACAATGCAATTGAGAAAGAAATAAAGAAATTAAAAGCTTGGCATGCTTGAATATGTTTTGTACATTATATTTATTTTATTTTTGCATTATTCACTTTGAATATGTTTTATATGTTATTCTATGTATTTAATTTTTAGCTAATAGACTTTTTCAAAACATTTAGTTTAAAATTAAAGTTTATTTTTTTAATTAAAACTCTTTTTAATATTTTCTTAATTTATTGTGAAGTTTTTACATTTTTTGCATTTTCTTTGATTTTTTTTTAAATTTTGCGCCTTGCTTCATAAAGGTGCACGCCTCGAGCACAAAATGGCTTTCACGATTTTTTTGCACCCTGCACTTTTAAAACGTGAATGATTAGCAAATTCATGCATGCCCCTAGAGATACTCATTAGGCAACAGTTGAGAGGGTTTTGTGTTATTTAAAGGAAACTCCAAGAAGAGGAATTCTTTTTGCTAATTATGGGCACAAGAGAATAGAAGCTTACATAGATAAAGACTGGGCAGGTTGTGTTGATGACAGAAAACCTGCGTCTGGGTATTGTACTCTTGTGGCTAGAAATCTAGTTTATTGGAAAAGTAAGAAGTAGTTAGTGGTAGCAAGGTCCTCAGCAAAGGCAAAGTATAGGGCAATGGCCCGTGGAGTGGTAAAGCTACTGTGGCTGACATCACTTTTTGGAGAGTTTAGAATAGTTCATGACAAACTTATAATAATATATTGTGACAATCAGGTTGCTATCAATATAGCTCATAACTTGGTTCAACATAACAAAACAAAACACATTTAGGTACATGAACACTTCATAAGGGAGATAGTTGCCTTTGGAGAAGTGTGCCTTCCTTTTGTAGCTTCAAAAGAATAGCTGGCATAGGGGTGCAAATGGATCGGATCAATCCGATCCGAAATCCAATCCTATTTTATTGGATTTGAATATACTCCTGCCAGATTTTCGAATCGGATCGGATCGGATAGTAGGTATTGAAAATCATATCGAATTCGAATGAGCCCCCTGTCCAATCCTATATGTGTTTGTGTTGTTTATTTATTTACATATGTTATTTATTTATTTATAAATATGTTTATATTGCATATTTGTAATTATTATATTATTTATTTTTTATAAAAATACATGTATATATATATATGATGAAAATAGTTGAAGAAAATACTTGTATTTTTTTGCTTTTTCTTTATATAAACTGATATATTTTTATTTTTCCAAAAATTAAATCGGATTGGATCATATTCAGATATCCAACATTATTAACTGATTCAAATTTGAAATTGTGTTTATGAGATCCGATCGGATCTTCAATAAGATGTTTGTACTATCGAATCGGATACGGATATACCCTGATTCGAATCTGATCCGATCCGTTTGCATCCCTAAGCTGGCAAATGTGCTTACAAAAGGGGGCTCCTAGACATAAGTTGGAAGAATATGCAAGTAAGCGGGGCACGATTGACATCTATGCCCATCTTGAGGGGGAATATTGAATAGTCACTTTGGGCCTTTTTTTATTCTTTCCTACTAGCCTTTTTATTCTATTCTTATTGGACCCAAATGAAATTGTTATTTTTAAGTAGTCACGTGACCCTTTTAAGTTCTAGCCACCTCATAAGGGTCCTTGATGTAATTTCATTCTTATTTCAAAACTATAAAAGTGGACTCATTAGACCCCACGATCAGTTCTGTTCTTCTTCTACACCAATCTACTCTCTTCTTTCTCCCCTTCTTCTCTGTTACAAGACTTTTTTTTATATCTTCTGAAGGGCTACACAACGGAGGGTAGCCCATCCCCCAACCCAAGTGCAAGTGGAATTCGATCCCAAGTCTCCGCTATGACCAGCAGGAGACCTTACCAACCAGCTGGTTGGCACCTTGCTCTGTTACAGGACTATTGTAAGCTTGCTACAGCACCTTTCTACTTTTCCTTCGTTGTTTTTGGCTTTATTTTACAGCTTTGATTGCTAACTATTTCAGCAATATCAGTTATTAATTATAAATTTCAATATTTCATACACGATATAATCAATTGGATTAAGCTAGATATCAAGGCATAGTTAAAATCATGAATTATTATAACAAGAATTCAAGAAAATAAGCAAAACAAGTAATTAGCACAGCTGATCTAAGTAATATGAGTATTCCAACGCGTTGAATAAACAAGAAGGCAAAGTAATAGCATATTGAATCCAATCAAGGAAGAGCTGCAACAAGAATCCAAGCAAATAAGTAATGAACAACACATTAAAATGTACAGCATATAAATTTCATGTATCATAGTGAACAAATAAAATATACAATATATGATACCCTTGCATCACCCAGGCATCACCCTTATATCTATGATTACTTATTATACTAAGTTTGATTAGACTGCAGTTTATGTCAAGTAACCACCTGCACCAAATTTGATGAAAGAACTCGTTCAAGATCATCAATTTCCTTTTGAAGCCATTTGTCTCGGGCTGCTTTACTAGAAAACTGAGTCGCACGACCTTGTTTTTGGTAAAGAATGCTAAGCTGTTTTTCACGATCCATAATTCTACATTTAGCATGAAAAGAAACAAATTGAGTATGCAAGTTTCTAATCAGAACCTTCCTTCAACGGAACAATTATATTCAATTTTTTTAGGCAGATAAACAATGTCAATATACAGCAGTAAGAAAATAGTGAAGCACATCATTTCCTTGGAGAAAGAGAACATACTAAAGAATAGGTACATCTGGAAGCATTATGGCAAAAAGACAGAAACTGTAGTTGGGGGACAGCTCCATCCCACATCTAGAAAAATACTTAAATAGTTATAGAGCTTTGGCTATGAAAAAGGGGATACCCTTTCGTTATTTCCTCCTCCTCAATCACTTGGGCATTATATAAAGGCCTAATTTTGTTCAGCTCATCCCTGGAGTCCTGAATTTCTTTCTGGAGAATCTCAAGCTGTCGTGCAGCATCTTCCTATACAAATGAAAATTTTATATAGGCATTAAAACCATCTTCTCCAATATAAAGACTCCACTATCAACTTAAAGTTACAAAAACAATACCTTTGCTCGAATATTTGCAGAAATTCTTTCTTCTAGGTCTCTGACATCAAGCTCAACCTGAGCATGCTTCTTTATTGCTTCTGTTCTTCGCTTTTCTATTGTATCTTTCTCTTTGTTCAAACCTTGAATATCTTTCGTTAGATCTTTAAATTTCTTTTCCAGGTCCTTCGATTTCTCATGAGCATCTAGAACACTATTATACATCGTGGCAGATGTCTCAGAAACCTTGGATCGAGCATCTTCTATCTACAAAGCAAACACAGAAATTTTAAGCTGCCAAGGTAATATGATCAGACAACAGAAAGAAATGAAACAACATAAGTTGCAGGTCAAAGAATCACATAACAGTGTGGTGTTTCTTTCTTAATGGAATAGTTGTTATTCATCAAATAAAATTTTCTAAATTTTTTATGTATTCCTGTTATATGTTTTCTGTGGGATCTAGCCCAGTAGTTTGATTTGTCTAATCATATTTTAGGTGTGTTTAAAACTTCAACTTCATTGATTTAACTAGCTTAAGAATTAAGAGTTCTTTAGGTGCCATTTGGCAAGTCTTTTTCGAAAGATCTTCTGGAAGATCTGACAACCAAAAGATGTAGTGGGCTTTTACATAAAGATCTTGGCAGCCCACGGACTGTTTAGTTGGAGGCACATCTTTCCATGCATCTTTTCACGCAACAGCAAAAAGGGCGAGAAGCTCCATTTCTGGCTTCCTGAAATAAACTCAAATCAAGCTTCTTGCATCTTTTTGGGGCACAATCTTTCGGCGGCAAGATCTTCCCCCAACCAAAAGGGAAAAGACGAAAATGCGGGCAGCTGGGCTTCTAAACAGCCGACAGCCCGTGCTGAAAGATGCGCCAAACGGGGACTTAGTTTTCTTATGATAGTGCCAACTCTGTTTTTTTTCCTAGTTCTAGTACGAGTGTAGGGCTAGCCACCCCTATATACAAGTAGCTCTAATAGTTGATAAAATGAGAGGAAGTAGACTAAGATGGTCTTGTCACGTGAATAAAAGACCATCTACAGCACCTATAAGAAAAAATAATCTGGAAAGTCTAAGGGACTAGAAGGGCTACGGGCATACCAAATAGGGCATGGGTTGAAGTGGTAAGAAATGATTTAAGCAATCATAATTTAACAATTGGATATGGCACTAAACAGAATGGAATGGTGAAACAGGGTTCATGTAGCCAACTTTGTATGGTTGAGATAAGGCTTAAATGATGATGATGATGATGATGATCATATCAATTTTGCAGTATACACGTGTGCATAAACTTCAAAAACATAGATACAATCATACAATGAATGACGAAATGAAGTTTACTTGAGATCTTACAGTTCATTCTATGTGGTGAGTAATTCCCATGCCCTAGAGTGATTCTAGGCACTAGCTTTATATTTCTCTTCTTTCTCCCCATTTACTTTTTAATCCTTTAAGAAGCCACTACAAATCTACAATCATCAACAGCAGTAAGTTCATCAAAAGATATTCATTCAATGTTCTCAAATGATTGGAATTGATCTAGATGAGCTTTCCTTTCATTTTCATTGAAACCCAAAATTTTCTCATTTTGGCCATTTTCATCTTTTTGTGTCAAACCATCTCCAATCCCTCCCAGATTTGGATGCCCCCCATAAATCCTTACACCCTTTCATCCCTCCAATTATCAACCCAAAATTCCACCTAGAACCTTAGATTCCCTAGTTATTGAGTTTTCTCCCAATGCCAGAATTTTCATCCTTTTATGCAAAAAGTAACCCAAAATTAACCAAACTTAAATCACCCTTTACAACCACTCATTCTAACCCTACCTATGAAATTTGACTACAAAATTCCTATCCAAAGACCTATTTTCCCTATTTCAAAGTTTTTCGATGTCCTTGGGTACATTTGCAATCCATGCAATTAAGGCCCTAGACCTTTTCTAACCTAGCCAAACTTTGTTTTTTAGTTCTAAATCACCCCTAAACCCATCCTAACCCTCCAAAGCTTGTCCTTTGATCATTCAAGTCCTACATTTGGTATTTAAAGCTATTGATCCTACATGAATCGGTATCAAAGCAAGCAGTCCTACATAAGCAATTCAACTCCTTTGATTGTATCATACTAAGGTCAGGGTATCTTGTATATTTCAAGGAAGGACCCAATTGAGGTCATTAGTAGCCCCAAATTCTAATTTTTTTTATACTAGATCTAGGGCATTGTGAATGCACTATTGTCCCTAACACCTTTATTCTTTAGCTTAATCATTGGTCATCCAAAAGTGAGCGTGTCAGCATCCACTGTAAACCTAGAAAACATAACATGTGAAGAACCACTAGGCTACATATAAAATAACCAACCATAAGACTAGAGCACATTGACAATAGAAAAAAGGGCAGCACAGTGCACGAGGCTTCTTCCGATGCATGGTCTGGGGAGGGACAGATGTACGCAGCCTTACCCTTGAACATATAGAGAGGCTGTTTCCAAGACTTGAACCCTGGTCACTCAGGTCACAATAGAGCAACCCAACCGTTGTGCCAAGGCCCACCCTAAGTTAATTGAACACAATGAAGCACCAACAATAGAACTTGGTCTATAATATTTTTTTCTTATCAGTTACTCGAACTTGGTCTATAATTCAACACAAACATTACTGACCTCAGCTAATTTCTGCTTAGCATCATGGAGTTCTTTGTCATATATGGTATATTCTAGAGACCTCCTCTGCTTGTCAAGCTGCTGATATTTTTTCAAATCTTCTTTCTCTGTCTCCAGATCATGTAATCTTTCATCCAAGTACTGAACAACTTGAATTATTTGTTTCCTCTTATTACCTATGAGCAAAATAGACATAAGCCAAAGCATACATGCACATATATAAGAAGAAATTAGCTTCAGAAACTATTGACTTGCCAGTTTCTTGCATAATTTTCAAACTCTCACGGCGCCTCTCCTCATAAACTCGAGTACCACCAATTTCTTTCAGCAGATCAAGTCGCTCAGAATCTTTCATCAATGTCAATGATGCTATCTATGAAGAAGAACCAACAAAAGTAAGAAATGAAAAAAGACATCATGCTAGAGAGAATGCCAAAAACCTATTAGAAAGAAGTTATACCTTCCCCTGCTGAACAACATAATAAGGATTTGAACGAGAGAACCCAGCACTTTCAAGTAAATTCATTACCTCCGTTTTCCTGAAAGATGCATTGCATTTTTTTAATCAACACCAAACAGGTAAAACGCTACAAAAAGAAGGAAAAATCAATGAATTGTATCAAGCAAATAAATCCACAAATGAAAAAGGAAAACAGGTGAATTGCATAAAAGCAATCAGGCTTACGTAATATGCTTTCCATCTAAAAAATACTCATCCTTTTTCAGACCAATTGTTCTCCGTAAGCGCACCTCTTCCTTGTCAACCTGTCATGCAAGCATAGAGGCACATAGTAAAGTGACTAATGAGAGGAAATGCATCCAAAGATAGAAATTTCCAAGTGGCAAGCAGATCCCTTGTGTGCATGGAAACAAAAGCAAAAACCAGCTAGATCATTGCAATATTTTTTTGATAAATAACAGAACTAATTGTAATTGAATAAAGTAGAAACTTCTTACTATCCAAAACCTGGATAGCAGGCTAATGGATAGAACACCAGCTTCAGCTACAAAAGCAATAACTTGATGAGAATTTACAAGCTCATTTCTGGCCCAGGCAATCCTCATACAATACTTTCCCCTACAATCCTGCTTTTGCTAAGGTATCACCTAAGACATTTGCAGTCCTAGGCACCCATTTGAATGAGTGCCTAGAGTCTGTACCTGTCTCTCACCAAGGACCTTAAAATCCATGGGGTTTCCCCGTTTGCCCTCATCCAAGAAATGATACTGTTTGGTCCTTTGGGAGTCCCCCCCCCACCATCAAATCAGACAATCCTTGCATAATAACCAGCTTTAAGCCCTGGATTAAAGATATCAATTCTGTATTTAAAGGAGCTGCCTTGCCCAACTGGACCTGAGAAACTTGGTACATTATTGTGGTCTCTTACCACTCCTCCAACTCCTAAGGTCACTAGATTGCCAAGACCATACCCATCAAAATTGAATTTCATTATTCCCAAACCAGGTGCTCTCCATTTTTCATTTGTTTATTATTGTTGGCTTGATAACCTACTAACCCACCACTATGGGAAATCACAACCTTTTGCAGTTTTTGGACAAATTTGGAGGGGGGAAGGGAAAGGAAGAATCTCTGAAGACGTAGTATAACCTGATAAGTCTTGAACTAAGATCTGGTTGAGCTACTTCAAGGGAGCTCTGCCTCAACACAAGAGAGGAGTAGAGAAGAAAAGGAGAGAGAGAATGGGAAGTAGGGATATTATTTATTAATTACATAACGAACTCTGGAGGCCTTATATAAGCATGACCTTATTACATATTTACATACAATGCATGCTTCCGCGCTAGTGCCCTGCACATGGGTTCCTGATGTAGACAAATCAAACTGGTGGCTTGATGGGCTGAGGACTGTGAGGCCCGTTCATCTTGGTGTGGCCTGGAGTCATTGTCCCCTAGGCTTCTGGGCCTGAATGTCATGGCCCTGGGTTTACTGGTTTGTGTGGCTCCTATCAGCTCCTCCCCCTGGATATTGACCTTGTCCTCATGGTCTAAGTCGGGGTACTGCTGCTGCAACTTTGAGTAGTCTTCCCATGTTGCATCCTTTGTTGAAAGGTTGCTCCACCGGACCAGGGCCTTCTTCACAATTTTTCACCCCACTTTGATGCATCTGAAGTCTGTAATCTAACATAGCTCAACCTCGAGCTCCCCATCTGTAGTGAAGTGAGGCAAGGTAGGGCTAGCTATGGGTGTACCCTCTCAGCATGGTTTCAAGAGGGAGGCATGAAATAAAGGGTGGAGCCTTGAGGAAGGGGGTAATTCCAACTTATAGGCAATAGACCCAACATGTTCCAACACTCGAAAGGGACCAAGTACCTTGGTGATAACTTTTGCCATGCTCACCTAGTGATGGATGACTGTCTATATAGATGGAGCGTCAAATAAACCATATCACCAACCTGATAAAATACCTTCTGGTGGTGCTTGTCATAACTCATAACTGAGTTTCATCTGTTGCCATGCATTCTGGAGATTGGAGATGCAGTTTTAGTGCCTTAAGAATCCCATCTCAATCTAAGAGTTGAACATCTACCTCCACCACTGAAGTGGATCCTTTCTCATAGGGAAGCATTGAAGCTTGACCATACAAGATCTTGAAGGGAGTAGTTCCAGCAGCAACATCGTACAATGTATTGCACCAATATTCAGCTCAAGCCAACCATTCCATCCATTGTGTGGACTTCTCACTCACATAGCACCTGATATGTGCTTCCAAACAGCAATTTACCACCTTGATTCGATTATCTGACTGTGGGTAGAGGCTCGTTGAATGGAACATGTCTACCCCTTGCACCTTGAAGTACTCCGCACAAAACCAGTTCATGAATGCCGGATCCCAATCAGTCACAATGGAAACAGGGTGTCGTGCAGCTTTGCCACATTCTAAATATATACTTGTGCCACCTATGCAGCAGTATAAGGGTGGGCTAGGCCCATGGTGTGGGCACACTAACTGAGCTTGTCAAGCACAACCGAAATCACTGATTTGACCATGGATTTTGGCATCCAAAATCACTGATTACACACTCTGGAATAGGAAGAGATTGTAGGAGACAGGCTGATGCTTAAGTCAAGTATTTCTGTTGTTGACAAACTCATGGCCACATACGCCTGAATAGCTCTTTTCATATCCTTCCAATAGTAATGGGCTGCGAGCCTTCTATATGTTCTAAGCACCCCAAATGGCCGAGTCATGGAAAAGCCTGAGGAGATATTGAAGATAAACTGAAGTAGAAGGCACCACTAATCAGCCTTTATAGAATAGAGTTGACCCCACGAGGGTGTACCCTAGAACTGCTGTTGGGTCCTGTTGGCATTGGGCTTGGATGTGGCCCAACTTTGGGTCTTGTAAGACCTCCACTTGGATCTGTTCCAACAATGGATAAGTGGGCTTACGGTCAGTTGTGCCAGTTCTTCCCTTCAAGATAAGGCCTCTGCAAGTTTATTGGAGGAGCCAGGTTTCATATTGTATTAAGAAATCATACCCCATGAGCTTCAATGCCCACTTTTGTTGTTCCAAAGTCAAAACTCTTTGGTTGCACAGATACCTGGGACTTCGTTGGTCTATTCTAATAGTGAACTTGCAACCCAACAAGTAGGCCCTCCATTTTTGTACTAAGGGCTGCAGCCATCAACTCCTTGTACGTAGACTCCAGCAAGGCTTGTGAAGATAAGAAGTTGCCATAAAAGCAATGGGTTGACCTCCTTGCATGAGAACCGCGCCAATACCTCTACCGGATGCTTCACATTAATTATAAATTCTTTAGTGAAATTCAGCAAGACTGAGGAGGGTGGTGTGGTTACAACCTTCTTGAGAGCTTTGAAGGCTTGACCAGCCTCTTCACTTCAAGTGAATGAGTCCTTCCTAAGCAACCAAGGGATACAACTAGGGTGGCATACCCCTTAATGAATCAGCGATAATACCCAATTAACTTCAAGAATCCGCGCAAACTACCTATGGATTTTGGCCTGGCCCATTCCTTCATTACTACAATTTTCTCCAAGTTTGTGCTCACCCTTCCACCCAAATATGACCGAGATAATGGATTTGTTTCTTGTCAAAGTCACACTTGGATTGTTTAGCAAATAGTCAATGCTGCCTTAGGAGAGATATTGTGTTTCTAAGGTGGTCCAAGTGTGTGGTCCAATTTGGGCTATAAACCATGATATCATCAAAGAAAACCAACACAAGTTGTCATATATATGGTCTAAATATTTCATTCATGAGGCTCTGAAATGTCGTTGGGGCATTGGCTAGCCCCAGGGGAAGAGCCAAGTATAAAGATGGGGGCCCTCCCCTCCCCCCTCCCCCCAATTCTTTTGTTAAAATCATCATTACTTGTATACTTAGTGGGTGGAGGCAGGGGTAGACGCATAATAAAGTGGGTCCTTGGCCCCCCAAAAGATAAATGTCCCATTAAAATGTTAATGACTGCTCTTTAGCCCTTTAGCGCCTCTCTAATTAACACCCAAAATAAAAAAATAAAAAATTGTTTATTTTTTTCTTTCAAAGAAAAAGCCATAATAGACCCAACCCCCCACCCACCCTATTTCTCTTCAAACCCTACCTTTTCTACTCCCTATCACATTTCTTGTATTTGCCAAAAAGACATGGGAAAAGTAAGTTGATTACATCGAGAATTAAGTAGCACTTGCAGGATTTAGGAGTTGCCACAAAGCCCATAACCCAAAGATATGGTAGTAGTAGAAAACTCAAAACTGCAACCTGATTTGATAATAGTGATAGAAAGAATGAGAGAAAAGAGTTTCTTTGAGAGAAGAAAAGATGAGAGAGAAAAAAAGATGGGAGAAGCCAATGATGACCCAGTCGCCCCACTCATTATCTTATATACTCACAAAATAAAAGAGATTACAATGACTAATATGCCCTTAATAGGGTGGCTACTGCCAATAACTGTTTTTTTTTGAAAGATCAAAGGAAATTTCATTAAACTGAAAAAAGTCCGAACATCTCAAGAAGATGGTTGTCTAGTTGACAAACCAACTACAAAACAGAAATGACACTGAAAAGAATCAAATTACAAGGATTCAACTCCAAAGGCCTCCAAAAAATTCTCAAGCAGATCAGACTCGTTCACTTGAACAAACTCTAGAAGACAGAGATCCCAAACTGTCATCAAAATGCCCATTCCTGCAATCAAAAATTCAACGCTCCACCCATTCTGCTCCCTCCTACCTTCTCTCAAACCCCACCCAATCCAGCTAGAAACCTCATCTTCCTCCCCCTCTCCATGTCTTCCCACCAACCCTGAGTTCACTCAATTTCATCCAGTCCCTCTTCTCCCACTTATCCCACCCATCTATTCTTGTCCCCACAAATTGTGACATCGTCCTTATCCGCACCCGATTGTGACAAACAAAATCTCTTCAGCAACAGGACCGTCAACAGTCACCTTGCCTTCTTGTTGTTCCTTCCTCAAATGGGAACCCGACGATTTAGCCTACATCATTGACCCCTTAAGATCAGGTTCAGCCGAACCACTCCCTTTTGCATCTTTTCTCCTAGAGACCCATTTATAATTCTTTGTTGGTCCTATTCCAACAAGACTAAGCTTCAACCTTGAAAATATTTTCATCACATGCACAACATTATTATTTCTTAAACTACGCAGTTTTTGACAGTCACCTCAGAAGGTGCCTCCTCCTCCTCAAAGTTGCTTCTTCGACCCAGATCTACACCCAACCTTCACTTCCTTAAAGCAATAATTGCCTTCCCAAAAGCTCTCCTC